GAGAATCAGCCAGTTGTGTAGCTACTCAAGAAGTTCCCAACTTTTTATGAAACCCGAAGGTTCAGTACCGTGTTCACAAGAGCCTTCCACTGGTCCGTATCCTGAGCCGCAATCCAGTCCATACCACCCCATCCTATCTCTCTAACATCCATTTTAATATTACCCACCCACCTACGTCTTGGTATAAGCAATAGTGTGGTGTATATATATATATAAAGCTTTCTTGTTCCTTGGCTCTGTGATCCTCTGTGAACCTTAGCCTTATTAAGGGATATGCATGTCGTTACACTGTTAGATTAGATGAGATTGTTAACCTCACGCTTAACCCACAACATTGAGGTCTAGGGACTTCCTTTCGTCTGGCCCGTACTCTTCGATATGTCTAACATTGGTGACTCTACCAGGAGCTGACGACCCTGCCAGCACAGATGATCAGGGCACGGAGACTTGACAACCATGGATCGCGGCAACAGCGTACTGTCTCTTGCCTGAGTATAATTTCTGTGATGTTTCTTTAAGCGTCTGTGTCCCTATTCGATTTAATCTCCAGCATAAGAACTTGGAGCCTCGTAATAATTAATACACCCGAAGCAAGTCATGCAAAGTTGCGTGCCAATTTGTAGTTGGCGAAACGTTTGCCTCTTTTGGGGTGTGCTATATAAACAGAACCGATATAATCTTTGCTGGAGAACGTTGGAATGCGAATGCGTTTGGTTTGTTGAGATGGCTTCCTGTTGAATTTTGCATGCCCTAAACTGGAAATATAAAGCCGCGCCATAGCTCAAGCGGTTAGTCGCTGGCTTCACACCGCGGCGGCCCGGGTTCGATCCCAGGTCTGGTCAAGTGGGATTTGTGGTGGACAAAGTAGCGCTGGGGCAGGTTTTCTCCGAGTACTTCGGTTTCCCCGGCCAATCTTCATTCCACCAATTGCTCCACAATCACCCTCACCTATCATCTGGGGCTGGTACAATAGGCTAGAAGTGGCCTCAGTACAAGGGACTTAGTCCCACCCCACTAGCAATAAAAAAATGCTGGAAATATATACGAATTAGGCCTTCTTTGAATATGCCGCTTTATAGTCTGCTAGCCTGATCTGGTAGCGGATTTTAGGATGAGGCTGAACTGCTTTCGGCATGTGATTAGAATAAATCAGACAAGGGTGGTTAAATACATTTTGAAACTAAGTCAGACTGAACAAATTGGTGTACCGGCATTTCCTTGGCTTCTATTTGAGAGGTGTTGTGTTCGAATCTCGGTTGAAACATGGGCTATCCTGAATACCCATAGGTTTCACGTAATTGGCCCTAGTCTTTCCAGTGAAATGTCTGGGTAGTACAGTAAATCCTCGCTAGTCCGGTTACAGTCAATTCGAATGTGGGATAATCCGGATCGAAACATGAAAAATGAACAGTTATCTTTGCAGTTCAGCACATACTTGAAAAGACACGTGACATTTAGGAGCAAGAGGACTGTCAGGCTGTGTTGAGGGGCAGCTGGAGAGAATGAAACCACGCAAGAAAATATCTAAGATTGGCTTCAGCTGGATGAAGGAGACCCTGGATTTCAGCTTCTGGCAGAGGAAGAAATTGCTGCAGTGATATTTTTTTATTTACTTTCATCATTTTCCATTTTCTTTTCTATTTTTTGTCCTTTAGGGTCATTATGCGCCTCATTAATACAGATGATCGCTTAATTCGGACGACTTATTCCCCCAGATTAATCCGGATTAGCGAGGGTTTATTGTATTTTAATTAAGCCACAACCGATTCTTTCCAGATCCTTTCAATTCAGCATTTCTTTCGTCCTACTTCTCGGTGATGTCTAATATATTTGCCGATAGCGGCGCGGTATGAACCGTAAATTAGACAAGTTTTAGCTGTTCATTATGATTTCCAGCAGAACTATTTGAACTGATTCTAAACGTAAACTTTTACGAACTGTTGGTGAATGAATCCCAGATTTTCCACTGCATTGAAGAGTTCATTCACTGTGTCAAATGCCTACGCTGAGTTCCACCCGTCTTCCTCTATACTCGAGTCTGCCAGATTTCTTTACTGACAAAATATATCCAGTCTCTTTCTCCACTGCCTTATCGAGCGGGGCTATTGTTACACATTAATTATGGTCAAATTCACTCTGAATGTTAAGCACCATTAAAGTTGTCAAATCGCATAACACGCAAGAGGAATCTTTACTCTGAATTGTAACCGACCGTGCTTGACAAAACTGAATGCGTGATTAACAAAACCTTTAAACTTCTCACACTGAGATGGCTGGAAGATGCAGAGAATGATTTACGAGAGTTATGTTAAAGAAAGTTAGGGAAATGGTGAACTACAAAAGGATGCTGGCGTTATGGACCACACAGGTTTGTCTTGGCGAGGTGTGAAGCTAAAAAGTAAAATCGATTTGAATCGTGAGGGATATGCCTTTGCTTCGGACAGAAGGACTGGCACCTGAGCACATTTCCTGCTCCCCATGTGTCCTGCCGCTTCCGGTGAAGCCTGTCGGCTTTCTGGCTCGCATTGCGTCCCCCCTTACAGGTTGGTGACGCTCAAAACTGAAATATGATTGGATCACAGCTTAGTCACAACTTACAATACGACACTACGCGCCAAATTAAAAATAGGTAGATGTGAAATTATCAACGGTACGTATTGTTCAGCTTGTGGGTTTTTAGGATTTGATTCCGTGTAGTCTTGTAGGGAAGAGGGACGAAGTAACAGGCTAGGGAAAACTGCTTCATAACTTGTACTCTTCGCCACGTATGATTAGAATGATTAAGTCAAGGAGGATGAGATGGGCAGAGCAGGTAGTATGCATAGGGAGACGAATAATGCATATATGATTTTGGTTTTAAAGGAAAAAGGAAAGAGACCATTAGGAAGAGCTAGACGTCTGTGGAAGGATAATATTGTAGCGTGTAGAGCCATTGATAGGCAATGACCGCGAGATGGGCGGATATATCAGGGCCGTTCCTGGGCAACGGCTCGGTAAACACGTTCCCGCAGCAACGAATCGAGGCACAACAATGGAGGTACTGTTGGAAACGAATGTTCCTGCGTGGTCCGTGCCGAGAAGTTATAAGGACAATTGGGGCGACCAATACAGTTCTGTACGGGAATCTGTGAGGAGAGGACTTGAGCCCGGAGGCAGAGGAACAGCCATTGTTGGAAGGAGCCTTTACCAAGAAACGCCTAGTGACAGACTGAGAACACTAGACTTTTTGCCCTAGTGAACTGTAGTGTGGAAAAAGCGACAGTGTTGTAGTTATTTGTAGTTACGCCCTGTAGGTGGTCAATAAATCCATTCACCAATCCAAACCCTGTCTATAATCACACTTCTACACGTGACAATATTAAGATGGATCTTAGACAGATATGATGCTGCGGTATGGGTTGGAATGATCTGGCTGAGAATAGGGAACGGTGGAGGGCTGTTGGGAACACGGTGAGCAAGCTTCGGGTACAACAGAACTTCTTGAGTGGCTGCCCAACTGGCGACTTCTCATGAAGGTCTCAGCTCCATGGAGTTAGCTAGTTTAATTGGCAGTCTTGCAGGCCAATTCTCGGGATAATTTTCCCTCCTGTGAGGAAAAGACTCTCAAAACTTTATTCACAATTACAGTTTTACTCATGGCAAAAAATACTGGACACATTCGTATTAAAGACTGGTCCAAGAATATTTAAAAATTACCGCCATGTTGTCTGCCATTTTAGTGCTGCAAACCTTAGAAGTTTATCGGTAAAAAGAGGATCCAAAGCCTAGTCTTAGAATTTGCCTCCACTAAGTGCACAAGTTCAGGATTTCGTTCGTAAAAAGAAATATTAAGGTTTGGTATTTGTGTTTTTTTACGAATAAACTTTTACCGTTAGCAGCGCTAAGGTGTTGAAAAGTGTGGCAGAAAAGTTTTAAATTTACTTGGGCCACTAGTTAATGTATAAATACCCATTATAGTGTCCCTGGGAAAGGTCGTCCTTTCTGAATGTTCCATTTTAGACCCTTGACGAGAAACTTTGTGTGGCTCTTAACAGGAATTTTCCTACCTCAGTTATCCCTTTGGTCTGGATCTGCCCTTTCCCCATCACTTGGATCCAAGTTACCACATGTCCTCGAGCCTTCCTACATATACGAGATAATTTCTGGACCGACACACTTCAGTCCTGAAGACAGAAGCAGCATGTGTCTGCATCCGCATATAAGAGAGAACGGTGTCATAATTCAGAAGTTCACAGTAAAAAAGTAAATTAAAGGTATCCCTGTAACAGGCCGTGGAGGCCCATAGGGTTGTGAGATGTTGAGGTTACCACATTTTCTAGACAATCGGCTCATAGATGGCGGCAAGGTTGTCAGCCCTACTCGCCGGCCGCCCTTTACCCCCAAGAATATTCCAAGAATATTTCCTGGTACCCATTTCTGTTAGAGGCTGAGTCGACCCCAGGGCCATAGTGCGGCTGGAAGCATTAGGTCAATTGAAAAAATCCAATAACCTTATCGGGACTTAATCCCGCGACCTTCCGGCTTGTAGCATAGTGCCTCAACCGACTACGCTATCGCGTGCCCCCTCAGAAGTTCGCAGTTTGAACTATGAGCTCAGTGACTTTTCAGGCTAGCACACAAAACACTGTAATCCAACTTAACGCGTAGAGATTGAAAACATCTTGTAGCAGATGACCTTCGGTTGAAGCTTGACATAAGGTGTTCTGCTTGTCAAAAAAGGGAATGACCATTTTTATAAAACAACAAAATAAAACGTTACCGCTTTAACTTCTTAAGGACTATCAGAGCAAGTGTAATGCTCTAGTCGAATAAGTGTAATCGTTTCTGTGAACCATTAGTAGCTACATACGATTTTCATCCTTATTGTCAAACTGCATTCGTCATTTCCGAAGTTCCCCGAAGAGGTTCGGAAGGTGTGACGTTATGTGACGTCACCAGTTTGAACTTCGAGAGAGCAACTCTGTTTCTCGTCGGTCTCGGCGCTCGCAGTTAGACGGTGTACGGGCCGGTGGAGGTTTGTTAAGTAGACGTGGCAGTTAGTTGGCGGGCATTGGCTACGTTCGAGCGCAGTTATGAAGTGTATAATAGCCAGTACACCGTGTGCTTTGAGCAGTAACCAATTTATTTAATATATCAGTAGACCGTCTTTCCGAAGCATGCCTACAGAAACACGTAGGTTATTTCACGACCGCGCCTTGCGATTACCAGTTTAACCTTGGCAAGATTGTTTGCTTGTATACAGGTTGCCAGTACTTTACCTAAACGATGAAATAATTACAGACACCGTACGTGAAGTACTGAAGTAACTTATTTACAACAGCTTTCTTTATGAATGTGTAGTGGTGTGTGTTGTGTAAGAAAATTTGTGAACAGTGTGTAAGAAAATGGTGATTATTATGAAAGGTTTCTGTCGTGGACATACTTGGAGACATATTTTGTGGACAACAGCACTCTTCATGTTTTTGCTGGCGAAGGCGGATGACGTTCTACAGCAAGGTATGCTCTTGAAAATAATATTTGTTCTGCGAGTTGTTGCCCCATTTGATGTTAAGCGAAGACCCTTTAAACTACGTTTTAGCGGCATGTTCGTTCGGTGATAATTGTTCCGTGGTAAGAGCTGACGTTCTCCACGCCGGTGAATGTTGAGATCACGGTCTTATGAGACCGCTTAACTCTGTTGATACCGACGTTTCGGAGGAGCCTGCTGTCTCCATCTTCAGGGTACAAGGTGGAGGCTATAAGTTCTTGCGAAACGTTTTGGAGGTAATTGCTATCTCCATCTTCAGGGTAGTAGACAAGAATAGCGTGTTACTTTCTTAAGGGTTATGTAAGACGTCCGTTTGTAGATTATGTAGCATCGAATGGTGATTGATAAATTGGAAAAGTAAAAATGAAGTACGGTTTCCCCTGTGCGTATTGAAAGACCACGCCATAAAGATGTGTGGGTTATTTAAGGTGTAGCTCCACGTATTCTTAATGGTTACTATACACTTGCACGCATCGGCAGCTTCTGGCGAAAGAGACCCCATTAGACATCGGATAGGCGGTTGTCTGACCTCCAGAACTGGTTACGCTGCTGTGGCGAAAGATTTCTAGCCCCTTTCGGACACCGAATCATGCCTTTTGGTCTACTCACTGTGCTCGGCTATGCCTGAACTGGTTCTGTTACAAAGTTTAAAGGCAGTTTTCCATGAAATGTCTCTCTTCAAGAAAAGCATTTGCTAATGAATGCGCGTAAAGATTTTTTACCGACAGAAAACGTGGTCAACAGTAGTTGCGGTAAATCTAAAAGGGACAGTTTGAGGTTCTCGCATGTGCCGCCATGTAATCTGATACAAGTTTACCGACGTTTCAGAGGAACGTCTCTATCTCTAGCTTCGAAAAATCAAGCGAACAACCCAACACGAAGCACTTATACTCTGCGATCATAACGAAATGTCGGTAAAATTCTAACAAACTATACCGGGCTTGGCATATTTCATTTAGGTTGTTTTCATAACTTACCAGCCCACTATATGGAGACAGTATTTTCGCCCGAAACGTCGGTGAGCTTGCCAGACTGACCGCCGGTTACATAAATTCTTGCTGGATGCTTCTTTGGAATAGGTTCCATCGAAACGTTTGCCAGTTGCATACTTGGCTAAGTCATAGACCATGAATATGGAGGCAGTACAGCCTTCCGAAATGGTAAACTTCTTCCGAGCAACACGGCATCACGTCTTGAAAGGTAGTTCGCTTAAAGGAGGAGATAAAGATTTTCCTACGCATTTAGCAGGTAATTCTTGCAATGAACAGTAAGAACAAGTAGAGAGAGACCTGTATAGAGGAATAAACGACTTTAAGAGGTGTTACCAGCCTAGCAGTAACTTAGTGAAGGATGAGAATGGTGATCTGTTTGCAGATTCCCACAACATTTTGAATAGGTGGAGGAACTACTACTCTCAGTTATTGAATGTACATAGGGTCAGTGATATTAGGCAGGCAGAAATCCATACAGCCGAGCCGTTAGTACCTGATCGTAGCCCCTTTGAGGTTGAAAGTGCTATTGCAAAACTGAAACGGTATAAATCGCCAGGTAGTGATCAAATTCCGGCAGAACTTATTCAAGCAGGAAGCGAATTATTACGTTCTAAGATCCACAATCTAATTACTTATATTTGGAATAAGAAAAAATTGCCTGATGAGTGGACGGAGTCTATTACTGTACCAGTTCACAAGAAATGTGATAAAACTGATTGTAACACGAATGGGGGAGACGAGGAATGCGTATAGGATATTGGCGGGAAAACCAGAAGGAAAGAGACCACTGGGAAGACCAAGGCGTAGGTGGGTGGACAATATTAACATGGATCTTAGAGAGATAGGATGGGATGGATTGGATTGATATGAGGATAGGGACTAGCGGAGGGCTCTTGTGAACACGGCAATGAACCTTCGGGTTCCATAAAATGCCGAGAAATTCTTGAGTAGCTGCAGAATTGGCGGCTCCTCCAGAAGGGTTCAGCTCCATGAGTGAGTAAGTAAGTCTGGCAGATAATTTAAGACCAGTGGTGGAAGTGGGTTATATCAAATACAGAAGCTAATTTTGATACCGCGTTGCAGACGTGTAACATTGCAGTTAGTGGCAGTGAGAGCATTCATCTGTTTATACAGGCGGAGCCGTGCCGCCCAGATGTTCAGGTTTTGTACTCTGCCTCGAATCCGTGACTGAGCGTTTGACGAAAGTTCGGCCGGTCCACCCAAGCGAAACCTTTTCATACTGCATTAAACCGCGGAACATTGATGCCCAATTTAACAGTAGAGGTTCAAGTCACGAACTGCCCCCAGATCACGACACTTGTTTCGAAAATAGTAATTTGCCTTAGAATTTCAGCGTATAATTATTTGAACGAATGTTTTAATTGTCTGTTACTAATGGTGTTTGGAGGGGCACGCGGTAGCGTAGTTGATTGAGGCATGCCACAAGGTCGCAGGTTCGATTCCCGGTGAGCTTACTGGATTTTTCAATTGACCTAATCCATCCAGCCGCACTATGGCCGTGGGGTTGACTCAGCCTCTAACAGAAACAGGTGCGTAAGGCTGACAACCTCACCGCCATCTGTGAGCTGATTGTCTAGAAAATGTGGGAGCGTCAACGTCTCTCAACCCTATGTGCCTCCACGGCCTAATTATTTGTTACTAATGGTGTCTCGGACGATTTGATATTCTTAATTTCGCATTGTTTTGTATAACTCGAGGTACTGGAGCTGTGGGCACAACGACGACGTCAATTAAACTGTAATAATATCGATTAAAATCGATATAAAACATTGATGGTCTAATCAGATTTATATATCATTCAACCGGTGCATGTTTCGCTCGCATGAACCGTAATCAAGTGGTTTAAATAAATAAATAAAATATACATTATTATTGATTTGCTATCCGTGTAACAGGCCTTGGAGGCCCATTGTGTTGTGAGACGTTGAGGTTCCCACAGTTTTGTAGACAATCGGCTCACAGATGGCGATGAGGTCAGTCTTAACGCGCTGGTCGCCCTTTACTCCAGGAGGATTCCTGGTACTCATTTATGTTAATGGATGAGCCGACCCCAGGGCCATAGTGCAGCTGTAAGGATTAGGTCAATTGAAAAATCCATTGACTATATCGGGAATCGACCTGCGACCTTCCGACTTGCAGCATAATGCCTCAACCAACTACGCGTGCCCCAATTCGTATTGTAAGATTGTGAAACTTAGTGTCTCACGTAGAAAGTAAAGGTAAAATGTTACCCCAGCGGTTTTAATTAATTAAGCAACACGCCATGAAGACGTATGGGGCGGTGGAAGTATAGCTCCTCCGTTGTTAGCGTCGGTAGTAGATGGTGAGTGGTCAGCTTCACGACTCGGCCAGTTTACCCCCGGGGGAATGAACCCAGTACCTGTTGGGTTAATCCTCAGAGACAGTCTGTACGCTATGGAGAGAAGAGTCTTATCACTCTTCCAAAAATCAATCCCAGATCCCTTGGTCATTTACCCAGTAGTCAAGTCACTACACAGACCTCTGCGCAGTAGACCCGCGAAGCGTGCACAATTGCCAAGAACGCTTTTGCTTAATTAAGCACTGCAGAAGCTAAAGTGATTGACGATACGTTGCAGCATAGAGCTAATACCGAGAGACGGGCAGCGTTTTCAAATCATTCTGATTGATGGGCGTGGCTTCAGTATCTGAAAGCCGCTGAAGTTTCGAGCAATCATGCGAGCGAGCTAGGCGCTTCCTATCAACGCTGAATGTCAAATAACTTTGTAATCAGCCGTTTCTCTATACAGACCGTATTTTTGGCCTGGCTTCTGAGTCGCGCAAGAGGATAATACTGCAAGAAATAGCTAGGTAGTGGTTGCGTATACATTGTGGAAAAGAGGGAAGATGGCCCACTAAGGCGTCTTTTAACCCATAAAAAGGTAAGGCTATCCCCGTAACGGGTATGAGATGTCGAAGCTCCCACATCTTGTAGACGTTCGGGTCACAGATGGGGGTAAGGCTGTCAGCCCTAACGCCCTGGCCGCACTTTACCCCCGGGAAGATTCCTGGTACTCATTTCTGTTAGAGGCTAAGTCGAACCCAGGGCCATAGTGCGGCTGGAAGGTGTAGGGCAGTTGAAAATCACCTGGAATCGAACCCGCGACCTCAACCAACTACGCTACCGCGTGCCCTCTTTGTAACCCATGCATCCCCCCTGAATCCTCACCTCACTTAGTGGATTCCACGCCAGATTACGGCCAGGTAAAAAATGGCCGATAATAACAAGCCCCTGTGGGGGAGGATAGACACAGAATTCATCCCCTGTCACTTTATGGGGATGGCGTACAGACCACACCATTCTGTGCCTCAGAAATTCTCACCTATCTGTTCTTCGCAAGTATTTGGCCCCTATTCTACGGGTATTAGGGGCCCACCGCCTGCCAGTGGCCTTCCGTGGTTCCTTTCGCTGTAGTTGTATCTTTGGATCTAAGAAACCGTTTGCCCGTCCACCCCCGAAGTTGATAGCTGCAGGTTCATCCGAAACGTCTGTAAATAGGAACCAGACTTCGTATCCAATCGAACAGGTTCGTGTAGAGGTAAAAATTAATTACATTTGTATTTGGGATGTATTGAGCTCGATTCCTGTTTGGTACATCGGCTGTCATGAGATTTTTTTTTCGTGGTAATCCCCAGTTTTTCGGGCCATGACCGCTTCCTGCCAAATTCCATCCATTTCTCTATTTAATCCTATCTTCCGACGCTGTATAGTCCGCGTACTGACAGGGTTGTAAAATACTCGTAAACTACGGAATAAATACAGGTCCCCGGGTATTCATGTTGATAATATTGTGTTAGAAAGTTAGATAAGTTAACTTAATGAAAGGCATATATTGTAATAGAAATTATACCAGCGAGAGAGTATATAATGGATACATTACGTTATGTATGCTGCATACATAGCACAGTACAGATGGATTAAAGGATAACACAGAATG